TGAAGAGTTGCCAAATTTGTAAACCATTAAACTTTCTCTTAATTTTGTCATGATCAATTTCGACTTAAATATCATACTTCTGGAAATCCCACTCTCTATCTGTACGGAATATAAGGAAGTTCATCCTGAACTGTTACTTAGTCAGACAAAAACATTGCTGATTTCATTTGTCTACTTACTACCTAAATAGTTTGATTTTTCATTTAAAATTTCATTAAAATGTGATTTTCCTACTTGCGCGTATCATTTCTGTGAACTGGTTCACTAGAATTAAGGAAATCTTGATCAATTGAGTAACCGCTATATCTGTGTAAAATGGCCGGTTTTTGCTGTTTTGACACAAGGTTTAGAAGTATTATTGTATTTAATATCGTATGAAAGTTTCGACTTGTCACTTTTCATTGTCTCAGTTAAAAACAGGATGATTATGCATGCAATACTATTTAAATATATAATTACGCATACTTACGAACTTATAAATGCATTTTGTATTTCTTTATTGATGTTAGCAAAGTAATTTTCATTGATAGGATGAAGGCAGTCATACCTTAAAGATTTATCAAAATTATAATTTGTTTGCTTGAGCGCATAGTTGGTCTAAAAGCTATGTTCAGAATTTCAAGAATTGAGCAGCTTAATGATCAGCAAATGAGCTGCTTCTTAATGATTTTGAAAATTACCTTTAATTTTATGTTAAAAAATAATCATTGGGGATCATAAAAATAAAAGATAAAATTAGGGAGATGTAATTCGATTATTTTTAAAAGCAGGTTGGTTCAGTTAGACATTATTTTTCTAATATGGAAAACAAAATAAAAATAAAAATATAAAAATAGTGATTTTTTTATCCATAATACAGCCTGCAGTATTTATTACAATTTTATATCGATGACGAAGTAGATAATTTACTTTTTAAAAACATGTTAAAATCTGGAAGAGTAGAAAAAAAAAATAAAGTATCAGGAACATAGAAAAAAGTGTACAAAATTTCACGGTCATAAACTAGCTTTAGTTGTAAAGACATTGCTGCATTAAAAATTTAGCATATTTTAACATTTTAAAGGTAATGGTAATTTACGATTATCTTTCACATAATATTATATAATATTTTTTAAAATTATTGTGTAATTAAAATTTATATTAAATTACTCACACATTTAGACTTAAAAATTGCATTATAAATTTAAAAAATAAATGTGATTGTATGAATAGTTTAACGTATCCCAGCAAAATCTTTTCTGGTTTATATAAAAATGGGGCGTTCTTGGGCGTTGTAACATATACACGTACCTGAGCAAGTCACACATAATTTGTAACCTATAAGTTTTTCAAAGTAAATTTGCCAAAGTTTTAAAAGTAAGAAATATGCTTTACATAAAACTACAGCAATCTCATATACTGCTGAATGAAAAGAAATTTACTGAAAAGTCACGCCACGTGCAAAAAACCTTATAATACTTGAATAAGGCTGTGCCGTTAGAGTACTGTTTGAATGAAAAGTGCTTAAAGTGCTGTCATCCGGGACAATCTGTTAGCATAATCACCTGAGCGTAATTAGAATAAAAGTATATTTTGACTGCTTTATCAGCTAAGTGATATTTTGCGGTAAACACTTGTGACAAAACTACAACAGATGATAAACTGGAAACAGATGATAACTGATAATCGAATAAATGTATGCCAGGACAAAATGGACAAACATCGTCATTGAATACGCCCTCATCTTTTGAGAGAAGATAGGGGAATATCAATGTTAATTTTCATTCATCGTTGATTTCCTTAAGAATCAAATACTTTAAGAAAATCAGCTTTGTTTTAATCTCAGTGCTTTTTTTATGGAAGATCAAAGGGTATAAAGCGATTTCATGTAACTTTTTCTCAGAAATCTGCAAATTCCGGCTTCATACGACGTTATCACTGTAATTGAAAATTAGATTTTCATCTGGATATGGAGATGGAGAAATGGAATTTTCTTCCAAATGGAATTTTCTGACACCAAAAATAGCACAAGCAAAACATTCGAAATCTGAAATCATGTTGATGATTTTTTGGATAATTTGGTAATTGTCAGACACAAATTCAAACAAATTCATTCTTATGTTGCACACTACATGCAAGTTTTTATGCGTTTACATGAACATGTCTGAAGAAACAAGAGAAGTATAAGTTACAGCATGACCTCTTCACCAGAACAGCACTTCCAAACACATAGTCATGCCAGTTGAAGAATTCAGATGAAGAACAAATCCCAGTACGTCCCACCTATTTTAGTTGCTGAGTTATAGGGTTCAAAGTTTCCAAAAATTCAAGATATCCGAAATTATGACAAATGCTAATTTTATGATGAATACAGAATCATTCTTCCAGTACTCACGAAAATGGCATGAGCGCTGAAATTAACTAGAGGGGTCTAATGAGTATCACTCCATTAGGTAATACTTTTTCACATTTCAAATAAAACTACCTTTCAAGTATTATCTGATAAGTTTTTGAACATTGTAAATTTAATGTTAAGCTGGAGAAATATATAGATTAAAGAAATTAAGATTAAGATCCAGCGCTTTGTCAAGCAGATGACGAAAAGCAATAAAATTCTACTCACGGTGTAAATTATGATAGATATTGGCAAAAAAGAACCTTTACATACATATATGTCAAGAACAGAAACAAAATATGAACTGTAAGAGATACTATAGGTAATAAATAAGTGTGAGAGATACTGTGAGGCTTGTAAGACTACTCTACGTGGAGCATCAGATTTATACAAAACCTTAGACAAATGTGTGAATTTAAGAATATATGGAAATGTTTTAATAGCAAAATATTTTACTTTTCATGTTCTCCCTCTAAATTACTTTGAGAAAGAATTTTGCTTTATTAAGAAAGTAGCCGTCTAAGCTTGACTTTTAATAAAAATGACAATAAAAATTACGCTATCTTAAAACTGAGGTTTTGTTAAAGGTTTTTTTTTTTTTTTATTTCAACTTTGCAAAAGTCAGTTTTAATTTACGTGTGTATGTCTTCCCATATATTCACCTACTTCTTATTTTCTAGGCACTGTAAGTCAATCTGCATAACTTATACCTCCAGTTAAATTAGTTTATTAATTAATTTAGTTTATTAAAATGTCTTTATTATGTCATCTGTAGTTTTACTTTTAAAAGTTTTATATTGCTTTATATTATACTTTGAATAATTTAATTAAAAAAAATTAAAATACAATCAGATGAACTCAGTTACTTGATTTACTAAGAAAAAGAAATGATCTATTTAACTGGAGTTCAAGATGAAGAGTCCGAATAATTGATATTCTGCTGTATTGTAAGTTATAGATACTTTTCAAATGCAGTCAAAATTATTCAGGTTAACAATGATTATGTAATCTTAAATATGATGATGCATGAGAAAATGCTAACTTATGAAGTGATAATTTAATCTGAAATCTTATACATCACTCGACAAATCCTGTAATTTTTTTATTAACAACGCGAATTACTCGATAAGAGAAAGTTTCAACGGAATTATAAGCTTTGTATTAAATTACTAACTTTTTTCGTCGTAAATTGTTTCTATTCTGTCAATCATAACGTAATACGTACGTATTTGTTACAAATGCTTATGAAAAATTTAGAAAAGCAGATAAGTAACGTAAATCAATCCACGATACTCTATCTTCTGGAAATTTTTAATGGGTTGACGATCAAAGTATGTAGTTGAATGGTAAGTGCTTGAAAAATTTCCAGTTTTTATTGTATCTAGTGTATCACAAGTACAATTTCAGCAACGAGAAGATTATCATTTTCTGTTTCAATTTTGTTTCTGTTACAATAGTTTGAACAAAGGAAACGGTGAGTAAAGATATACGGCAATTCGTCACATATATTTTGAGGTATACTAATCAGCATAACATTCTGATTAACATAATTATTAATCTGATTTGATCGATTTTCAGTGCAAGCACAATAAATATTTCAACAAACCACGCTCAAAAATCTCTAATATCTCTAGCTTCAGTACCAAAATATGTTACACAGTAATTCATCACCAGTTTTGTACTGGATGACTTGAGAGTTGCTTGTTTCGTTAGCTAAAGAGAGGACGTATGATGTTTATAACTATTTTTATCGCCTGTTCTATGTTGTGTAGTAGTCTCATATTACAAGGAAATATAATTTTACTCCACTACGTTTCATTATTTCTCACTCATAGCAGGTTTCGCAACAGTTGTAACAAGTTAGTCGATTGGTGCCGTTCTACGAACAGCATTTATTCGCATCTTGTCTCTGTATCGAATTCTGGTTATTTTCACAAAGTTTCAAAATTTTTAATATTATAGTGATCAAATTAGGATAAACATTTATCATAAGATGGTTCCTAAATTTTTCGCGATTAATAATGTATTTAAATCTTCAAAAGCGGATTATTCCGTTTTATTTGTTGTTAAAATTGTCAATCTCATTAAAATATTTATTTTCAGAATTTTATAGTATTTCGATAAATTTCGTAGATCTAGACACAGATATTCTAACAATAGTTCGAAATATTCTTACAGTATTTCAAACTTCTCAGAGATATTAATTTAAATTAGAATTTTCACTATTATACATACTATTGCCTTTAAATAGTCAAGTGAATGCATAACAACATCTCTTATTTTAATAAATATCTAAAAACGCATTATTTTAACAAAAAGTCATAACAGATCCGAAATAACTTTCTTGTGTGAAATGGCTAGTTAATTTTCTGAACATAAAATAAAAACACTCGAATGAAATCCGAAAGTATTAATCTGATGAATTCATAAATCATAAGAAAGCTAAACATCTTCATAGATAATAGTTATTGTGTAAACATGATTTTTATTTTCATTCTCAAGAAGGAATTTCTTAGGACTTTTCTTCTAGAGCGGTAGAATAAAACCAGATCCACTTAATTATACAATTATTTGCCTAGCAAAGTTGAAAATTATGCTGTAGGTTTATTAAAAAATAATTACGATATAATTTTATAGCTTTTATTATCCTACGTAGAAACAACATCATTCGGATAAACATAATTTCAACAATCGTTCTTTCATTGACATTAATAGGAAAAGTTCTATCAAAAATTTAATTGACATACAGAGTTCAGTTAACATAGGTTTCATTAAGAAACCAACAAATGAATCAAATTCATTTTTACACTTTTTCATTTATGTTCTCTGTAAAACTTTAATTCTATTTTCAAAGAAGTTTGGTACTTAATTTTTGTACATTTATAAATATTTCCATCAGCATATCTAAGTTTCAATAATCTCAAAGTTTAAAATATTCATGCAGTTCTTCGAAGGTATTCTTGCTTGAGGACTATTAATGAAGAAAGTAGAGTTTGAATCCATTGATAAACATAGCACCTACACAGCAGTAACATATGAAGAAGAGAAGTGGGAAGTACCAGCAATCTCTGCTAGAAGTTAGGTTCTTAATGATATACCCGAAGGAACGCCGAGGTTCTGTTAAAATGGCGCCAGATCTTCTTTCAGTTCCACCGAGTCCGGATTTAGTGTGTTGACGAGTCATTTCAGAAGTACAATCAGGTCACCTGGAAAATAAAATGGATTAAATTGTAAATAAGTAATACAAGTCGAAAGAAACTATTATTACTAATGTTACGAGATATATTCTTGAAAGTCCTGATTTCCTTTCCATGACAGAGATCTTTTTCTAATTATTAATTAGTGTTTGTGACCTCAAGCATCATTAATAAAGTAAGAACGATATAGCACTAAAAGGGAAGCGTAACGTTAACATATTTTTAATTACATAATTAGATCCATTAAAAGCATACAGTCTTACTGCATTAATATGAAAAGGGAAACAAAAGGAAATATGTATTTAAATAAATGTAGCATACAAATTTATTATTGACTTATAAAACGTCTTCTACAAATGGTCTACATGAAAAGTAAGATAAGCAGGCTTACATTCGTGAGAGCATCAGATACATAAGCTTTAATATGTTAAATGAGTTCAGCTGAAACGTAATTAAATTATATAAATGTTATACCTGCAGAAAGATTAAACAAATATGTTACGATATTTTGTGTAAAGAATGATAAAATTCAATCTTGAATTAATGTTATTTCGAAGCACTCTGTTATATTTTTTCCCTTTCAGACGGGTAGCATATTCAGCCTTGAAAACACACGAATGTTTCTGCCCATTTCAGGGTTCCTATAAATACATAGGATTTTCTGTAAAGCCAATACAAACATAATGTCGGAATTTAATTTTCAGTTGAAGTTGAAATGATTCTCTACAATTATACGTATCTTTTTATTGCTATAATTTCATTCTTGTGTTTTGAAAACATTCAAAGTAACCACAAATGTTTTCACCAATAAGTAAGAAAGACGAAGACACTATCTCTGTGAATAAATCAATCAGCAAGCACATTATTTACTTATTTAACTTAAAAACTTTTGCAAATTATTTTTAATTCCTTTTATGAAGTAAAGAAAGTATTGTAATTGCGAAAAATTTCGGGTATCATATTTCAAGGAAAATAATAATTTTGACCCCTCTCGAATCTATTTAAACGATGTTTCTGTGTGACATCTGTACCTGTACGGACAGAATAAAGGACTCTTTTTTATCCCAAAAGGATCGTAAAATGAATTAAAATGGATCCAGAAGAGACTTTTTTGTGACGTATGTATCTCGTACGACTCAAAAATGACCTTAAGACGCTGAAATTTCGTATATGGGACTGCTATAATATGCTGTTGTGCACCTCCTCTTTTGCTTGCAGTCGGCTGCACCAAACATACCCACTCTGTTCTCTGGCTCAGCTCACTTTCTTTTCTTATATATTGGTAAATTGAGCACTGTTTTGCTCTAAAAGTGATTGAACTATGTTGTTTTTATGTTCTTGTTAAAGTTTTATGCCTTTAGTTAATCAGTATGCAATAGTTGTAGAATTATCAACAATTTAAAAGGGGCGCCAAGCCTAACGAGGCCACCATTTGTTTACATTTGAAACTCTTAGTAGAAAAGTAAATTAAATCAGTTGATTCACCAACTTAAGTGTTTTTTTGCCGAGTGGGGACCAAAAGTTAACTTTCAATTTTGTGCACCGAAATATATGTCTTCCTGCCCGCTGGCCGAATAGTAAAATCTCTAATTTTAATTGTAAAATTTTTTTTAACTGTTTTCAACTATATTGGGTATTTTAGGTTTTACTGTATTTCACATTTTTATTGAAGGTGTTTTGAGATTTAATGTATTTTCGCCTTCCTGCGAAGTTAATTTTAGTATTTATTTAACAATAAATGTGGTATTATAAACAGAAAACATAATAAATGAATTTATAAGGTTATTTGTTCCCTTCTTTCCACATGCCTTCGTGGCGTAACTTGAAAAACGCTCGACGCGTATTCTGGAGGTCCGAAGTTGGAATCACAGCGAAAATATTGCGGTTTTGTCTAGTTTCCTTGCTTCAAAAGATTTGAAAAGTCTGTATTAAGTGACGCCCAAACTAAAAGGGGGTGGACGATAATTCTTTACCATTTGGATTTAATAACTGGTACCCCTAACACCCAGTCGCTCTTAAAAAGGGGGAGTATATAATATTATTTATCCCTCCTTTCCTCAGGCCTTCGAGGTTTAATTAACAGTACACTCGGCACGTATTCAGAAGGGCCGGAGTTCAAATCCCGACTAAGGCATTGCGGATTTCTCCACTTTTCGAGCTTAAAAAAATTCTTAAATGTCCCTATAAGTTAAAATAAAAATACCCAGAAAAAAGGTCAAAAAAGTATAAACGTTACATTTGAAGTTAAATAAAAAAATCATGTGTACGATAGGAAAGTATAATAAATACGAGGAAATTAAAAATTAGAGTATGCTAAAAATTGCGAAGGTTAAAATTTGCTAAAAGGCTAAAAATTACATCTGAAATTAAATAACAGTACATCAAAACGTATATCTGAATAATTACGCTCATAAAATATAACAAATGAGCCAAAATTCAAAATATGCTGAAGATCGCAACCGTCAAAAAGTAAGAAAGAATTGGAAAATTACATTTAAATAAAATAATAGAATGGAACGCGTATTTGAATAATTGCGCTCCTAAAATATAAGTTAAAATTAAGAGCATGCTGGCAATTATGAAAGATAGTCTGTGTAAAATGAAACAAAATGATAAAAATTAGTAATATTAAGAAATAAATGTCATTGTGAACAGAAGATACAAGTGAAAAGTGAAATTAAAAGTATTGAAATTCCATCCGCAGGGAATGTTTTTTTAAAATATGCGATAATAATTAAAAATTTACATCTAACATTATTTCCCTGAGAATTAATCAATAAATTTGGAAATAATAAGAGCGGAAACCTTTAAGGGTAGATTTGGATAGAAATTACGAAATAACATATATATAAAGAAAAATACAAGTTTCAACTGGTAAAAATTTGAGTTAAAAGTAATAACTGAAATTATCCCCGGTAAATTTATTTATAAATAAAAGATAATTTCTTATCAAAAGATTTCTTTTATCACGATCACACTATCTTTGTCAGTCAACTGACTGCCTGTTGTACCACGCTCCGCCTACGAACTTGCGCATTGGGCCACCTGACGCAGAACCGGTACTTTCCTACTACTGATGTTTTTAATGTTGTGATAACAATGATGGCTTAAGGATGAGATAGCAATCACTTAACCCTATTGAAGCGAGACCAGTTCCTCCAACATTCTCCCATCATATAGTATTACCCATTTCCCCTTCTGCATGAAAAAAAAAAAAAAAAAAAAAAAAAAAGGTAACATTAATGCTTTTCAAAATATTGCTGTTATCCATTATCTCATAAACCCTCCTTGTTGCTGGTCTGTATTGAAAGAGGTTTCCGAAATGTTAAAACAACTAAGGGTTTATGCGTTTTATATTTAGAAACATATAATTAAATACTTAGTAACAACTGTATTGTAAACAACTGTATTAATTCATGCACGAACTGAATTTTCGTTGCAACGATAAACAAGTGATTTAGAAAGTTGAAACAAATTAATAAATATTATGAAACTTTCCAGATCGATAAAATAAAACTAGTTGCAGAAAACTTTTCCAAAATCTTCCAAAAATGCCCCACATACTAATCCAGTCATTAATAAAAATAATCATACAACAATAATACGGTTTGAATGGATCTCCTTCAAGTTGCATGATAATGACACTTAAATCTTTGCTGCTCTGTTTCATTCGGTTTACGAAATCGTAAGTTCTAGTTACAAAAAGAGTTTCCTGACTAATGTAAGTATGAAAAATAATTGTTGTTTACGTGAACTTATCTCAGGTATAGAAAGAATATATTACCTCACTTTAAATTTTATTTTATTCCTTTTTGATCATTGTAAACTAATAAGTTACGTAACATGTGCATTAAACAAATTATATTCTTATTTATTTCTGTTTCGTCTCGTTTAAACTTTAGAAAACTGAGGATTTATGTTTATAATTGCAATTAAACATTTAAATGCATGTTTCAAGAGTCTAATGTATTATATTGCATCATGGAAATGAATTTAATTAGAAAGAAGAGAAATAGAAAATGCTTTAAAAAATTTCAAAATTATATAAATAAAAATGAAAATATTAGCCGCAGACCTTATTACAAGAAAAATACAAAAATCAGACTTTCAAAGCTAAAAGTCTAGCGCTAACGCAGCTAAGATTAATTAAATTAGTAATGACAGATTATTCCTTAGGAAAAAATAGAGTAAAAAGGAAGTAATTAGAAAACTGTTGCAAAATAGAAATTAATGATAGAAATTGATTTAGTTAAGAATTCATTTAGAACAAACCTTTTAAAAACTAATAATATTTATTGTTGATTCCATGGGACGGCTTAACATGCCATTATCACAACTATCACTTTTAAAACTTCACTTGTGTTCACCTTTTTCTTTGTTTTGGGAAGTGAAGCTTCACTTTACATACGGTATTTCTGTTTGCATGGACTGCATAGTACATGTGTTACTATTAATGTAAGTTTTAAGTTTAATCCATGGTTTGGGAATACTCATAAATATTTACTACCTATATACTTTAATGTTAATTAATGTTTCGGTGTACGCCGTTTCAGGTTAAGAAGCATTTCGTGGAAATACTCTACTTTTGTAAATGAGGGGAATTGTACCTTTCTTTCATTTTCAATAAGTTTTCAAATTTCAATAAGTTTATAAAGTTTTAACCAATTCATCGCACTAGTCTTCATTTATTAATACTCTAACTAAAATATTTATTTTAGCTTTGCGTTTACTGTTTTGTATAAGTTGAGTTGGTTGTTGACTATAGAAAAAGAGAAAATTTATCTCATTCATTTGATTTCGTTTATTTATTTACGAAAAACCACTCGAGGGCTATTTGCTTACACACGTTATACATTGCGAAACCCACAAAAACGCCCATATAGCCAGCTCGTTCCCGAGGACCCAACTACAACTTTACTCTCAGCCGCTGGTGGGCCCCTATTCATTTGAATTAGTCCCTTTTTCCAGAAAATAAGATTAGTCATTACTCAATAACACGCCCTGTGATA